AGAGAGAGAGAGAGAGAGAGAGAGAGAGAGAGAGAGAGAGATTCTTTTTGGCAATAGTGAGAGTGGCTGAGCAAGATAATATGAGTGTGGTTCCTTGCTCAAGTAACCTCAGGTGGTGGTCATTGTGTTAAAAGGCATCTCTAAGTCTCGTCACAGTCCAATAAACCCTATATTGAGGGCACAGTATAACCCTGTCTCTAGGAAAATGGAGCCAAGTTTACCACATTCAAATGTACATAAGGGGCCCTTTCAAATCGTGCAGCTTCTGAGCTTCCCAGCTTCATGTGGCTAGTGAAATGTCATCAAAGTGACCTCACGTTTGTGCCAAGCAAGAGAATGCCAAGCAAACCTACCAAACAGTCGATGAACACCAAAGACCCAGAAAGTGGATGGCAGCAGGAACTCAGAATGGTGACTCTTTCCACAGAAAATAAGTACATATAATACAAAGATGTGAGAGCTCTCATGCTTACCTGCAAGGGTTGGCTATTTCTTCAGGTGTTGTCTTTATAAAAGGAGAAACTGGTTTTTCTACAAAGGAGCCAAAGCCCAGCTTGAAGTTGCTCGTTAATTTAGACATCTCTTTGGATAGCGTGGAGCCCAATTCCTTTATTGTATTAAGGTCATCTTCCATGGAAGCTGAGAGATCCATGAGGTAATACAAATCTACTGGATAATCCTCGGTCTGGCGAACACGGACTTGTAATGTTTTCTCATTACCTTGTAAAACCACAGCAGGGGAAAACAATGAACACATTAAGCTTTGTATCAGATCAGTCACTGGACCAGTGTGTTAAGTCATTTCAGAGAGAGGTTCCTAAAGAAATGGCTGGTATAAACTGTGACAGGATACATTTCATAAGCTGATATTCCCATGCAAACTCTTACCAGTTATGTATAGAGCTACAAAAGGACATGTAAAGCAGGATATTTTATATCATCTTGGGAAAACCAGGATCCATTTAGATTTAAGATAATCTGATTTTTGTGGTTTCAAAGAAGTAAAGCAAATCAAATGGCAGACTGGAGCTACATTCAAATACTCAAAGAAATATGAAACAAACCTCAAAGGCATTTGTGTTTTTTCTTTTTCTTTTTAAAACTTATATATTAAAACTTAAATATAAAATGAGAGAAGAAAAAAAACATGTCTTGTGCACAACAGAATGTAAGAGAGGATTCAAAATATATAGTAATAAATTTCCATTTCAAGAAAGTCTATGTAATAAATACTGTGAGTTGTATTGAGAGCTAGCCATCTTTTCTTTGCTTCCTTGTAAGTTTTCTTTTGTTCTCTGCTGTGCACTTTTTACTTTGTTCTTTCCCCCCTTCCTCCCACCTCCAAGGCTACAATTATGTGTGTTTCTTTCTTTTTTTTTTCTAACAAGGCAAGGGCACAGTTGATGTTCAGTAAGTTTTGTCAATTCTATGCTAGGAGCATTAGTAACCCAAAGACATCATTGTTAGCTAGTCTTCATTTATTTAAAAAGGAATCACTTGTGATTCATAATTATAATTGGTGCTATATAAGCCTAAACACATACAGCCTGCTTTGTATAGGTGACACTGGGAACTTTGTTGTATAAATCAGTGGAAAAAAGAAATTATGAGACTACAATATCATATTTATAAGGTGCTATAACATACCTGGTCGCAATTTTAGAACTAAGCTTTGGGGTGAAATTTGTATAATATCCGAACTATTTTTCTGACTTCCTATACTCAGCGGCTTGTTTCTAAGTATTTCTATTGTGGAAGTAGGATTTTCAATGGCAGGCAGCAAACATCCTTTAGCCAAAAGATTCTCTGGGGTGTCACACCTTTCACCAATTCCAGACGGATGGGTAAAGTCCTAGAAAAGAAAGCAATGCCAAGACTGATGAAAGTAAGCACAGTCTTTATTTATAGAATAATGGGGCATGATTTGTGCAACATGTGATATTCATCTTCCCCACTCCATTCCGGGATCAAAATATTCTCACACCTGCTACATTTATTGTATGTCCAAAGTTAATTCAAAAGAAGGCTGACAGAATTCTTGGTAAAATAAGAAAGCTTTCTTTTTATTTCAGTATTGTGGCTTCACATACCAGTTTTTCAATCTTCTTCTCAAGCATCTTTTCAGTAGTTAGATACTAAATCTTCTGTAGACTTAAATATTTATTGACATCAGGCACAATGAAATCACCCATTTCCTATAAACTGTCCAGAGGTAGGAAATGTGTCTTCTTAGCATATAACTCCCAGGACCTGATACAGTATCAAGGACCATTTACTGTTGGAGGTATTGTGACATTATATTATTATTTTATAGCACCTTTGGTTTCTCTCCTGGACTTTAAACCCTAGCTCTTTAAATGTTGCCTGTTTAGTGCATTTCAGATCTTTCTCACATATTCAATGTATAAGTGAGTATAAGACAACTCCCTTTTGCTGGACAGCAATGGTTTCCCTTCTTGACTATTAACTCCCAATATAATTTCTCTCTGCATGGCAAAAGCTGGTGATCTGGGTATACTGTATTGCAGAATAGAATCTACTTTATGCCATGCTAGCAAGTGCCAAATGTGGCCACCAGTTACTGGACATGCAAGCCGTAAAGTGTCAGTGAAGTGGGAGAAGGGTTAGTGTCTATTCATTCATAGTCTATGAAGAAGGCAGCTTATTGAATACAAAGACCACATCTGCATCGGAGCTGTGAGGCTGCCATGTGGGCATTTGTAGATTTAAAAACCACTAATTCTTTGGCACTAAGCATCACTGGTCAGTAAAACTACTGGTTTGTTATAGAAGGATAGCTACTAAAAACAGTATTAAAAAAATAAGGTTTCAAAATTGAGCCTTTTAGTCTCAGGATTTTTATTATCATAGTTGCAGGATAAATTTATCATCACAGTGGCGAAGATGAGCTATGTTCAATCAAATTCCAACTTTAAAATTTTGTGTCTATTCATCTATCTATCCATCTATGTGTGTTAGAATGATATACAGATTTATCCTTTTTTGTAGTATATACTCTTTTGTATTTGTTGTTCTTGAGTTGTTTCAGTTATGTCTGACTCTGTGTGACCCCATTTGGGGTTTTCTTGGCAAAGATGCTGGAATGGTTTGCCATTTCCTTCTCCAACTCATTTTACATTCAAATTTTAAGTCAAATTCATGAAGGTCAGTGTGGAGCAGCCCAGCATCTTCCCTGGATGACTGAAGTTATATCACCTCAAACATCCAACATGGCATGAAGGAGTCAGCATTTCTTAGCCGAAAGTAATCTCATAGAAAGCAACATAAATAGAAATTGGGAACTGAGGAAACTGAAGCAAACAGGGTTAAGTGACTTGCTCAGGGTCACACAGCTAGTAAGTGTCTGAGGCCAAATCTGAACTTGGGAGGATGAGCCTTCCTGACTCCAGGCCTGGCACTCTATTCACTGTGCCACCTAGCTGCCCTATTCCTTTGCATATGTGTTGCGTACCCTGACAAAGTGTAGCCTCCTTGATAGTACAAGATAGTACAAGAGACTGTGATTTTTTTTTTATATTTCAGTGCCTAGCATATAATAAATGCATATACTCACCTATATATATATATCCATGCACATGTGTTCACATAAATATACATACATATATACACGTACACAAAAAGGGATACAGGGCTTTGACTGCTATAAGTACAAACAAATAAAAATCTATATCAAACTTTTTTTCCAAACTTATGTATCAAAAGTAGGATTGGAATACATGGGGAGGCGGGGTAGGGTGGAACTAGCTCTTTTGGAACTTAACTCCCCAAAGAAGAGCTTCTTGGTTTCAATGGGGATCATGTTTTTATGGTTAAGTCTGAAATAAAACTCCCGTAGTCCTAAGTCTAGACATACTTGTGGATCAGAGGCATCATATCAGGTATCATCTGTGGTCAGGGCCAGTGAGTGAGTATGAGTGTGCGTGTGCGTGTGCGTGTGTGTGTGGGGGGGGTGCACGCGCGTGTGCATGTGCACGAGCACGTGTGTATGTGTGTGCGCGAGCACGTGTGTGTGTGTGTGTGACCACCCTGGGAATTCTATGAGTCCCTGCTCAGAATGTTTCTTGCTTTGTCTGATCTGACAGATGAACTTCTGCCCTATGAGCAAAGATGTGATTAGTGACCTAGGAGACCCTGAAAGGAAGGATGATCTTCTTTGTTGGGATGAATAGAAAAAAAACCAGAATCTTCCTGAAATTTTTGCATAGGAGTTCCCAATTTCTATTTATGTTGCTTTCTATGAGATTACTTTAGGCTAAGAAATGCTGACTCCTTCATGTCATGTTGGATGTTTGAGGTGATATAACTTCAGTCGTCCAGGGAAGATGCTGGGCTGCTCCACACTGACCTTCATGAATTTGAATTAAAATTGTAATTTGGGTTTTACTTTTCAAAGCTCTTTCCTGTTTGGAATTCAAATGCCTTTCTAGTATGATCCCTTTCCAAAGGATGCAGATCTTTGAGCTACAGGTTCTGTAAGTAACCACACAATCACTTTATACAATCCAGTATATAGAAATGGAAACATGAATAGCTGTCCCTTCTAGTACATCTGGAGTACATTAATCATTTACTCATTATCATTTAGTAATATGGGAATAATAATATTTAGAGTCACACACTGGATTTTAGAGGGTAAACATGAAATATTTTCCTAAGTCACCCTAGTACTACCATTCCAACATTAGGGGTCTGACCAAAGGCTATGATTCTTTTGGGGACCCTTGTTTTTCCTCTAGGATAATATCTGATTCATTTAACTCATCAGTTGCTGAAAAGTGCTGATATTTATACAGGGTGTCCCAAAAGCTGTGATGCAGGTTTAAACTCTTAAAACTTAAAAGTGCAATAAGAATTTGAGGACACTCTCTATATCATATAACTCTGTAAAGTGCTTGGACTACTTACTTAGATTACATTGTTGGTTTCTCACCATTAGGTAACATTAGGTATTGCTATCACTATTTCACAAATGAGGAAACTGAGGGACAAAGATATTAAGTAACCCCCAAATGTTATACAAATAATGGGTAGTAGAGCCATTACTTGAGACCAAGTGTCCAGTGTTCCTTCTATACCTGAGCTCCACTGAATGTGATTTATTAGAACTGTATATTTTGCAAAAAGTCCTGTTCTTCCATTTTGTTGTCGTTGTTGGGTCATTTCAATTGTGTCTGACTGGTTGAGACCCCTTTTAGGGTTTCCTTGGCAAAGATACTGGAGTGGTTTGGCACTTTCTTCTCCAGCTCATTTTACTGATGAGGAAACTGAGGCAAACAGAGTTAAATGACTTGTCTAGGGTCACACAGCTAGTTAGTGTCTGAGGCCAGATTTGAACTCAGGAAGATGATTCTTCCTGACTCCAGGCCCAGGTACACCATACCACTTAGCTAACCTTCTTTCTATACCTGAGCTGCAAACGAATGTAGTTTTATTAGAACTCTCCATTTTCCAAGAAGTCCTATTCTTCCATACCTATCATTTAAGTTCTTTTTTTGAACTTACATGTTGCAACAAATGACATGTAAACACAAGATTGGCAGGGCATTCATAGCACTGAAGCCAGTTCTGATGCTGACTATGCCTTTGGATCATTTTGCGTTGGGTGCAGGCTTGTTTCATATAAAGCTGAGTAAAAAGAACATTAAGGCAAAAGCAAAATCTTTTAAATCTACAGGTGGTAAGTTGCATTTTCCAAAGTAACTTAACATCCCTTCCCTGACAAATTTACCTTAAAATTAACCAAAAACCACTTCTAATGGTCTGCTATATTTGTCTGGCCACCAGGATTTTAGGGCAATTCTCAGGGCTGATGGAACGAACACAAAAGCTCACACAAACACTTCTGTTGGAAATTCTTTGAGATTATTTGCTTTACCTCTTGAGAACACCAGGAGCAGTGTGGTCCAATGAGCAAGCAGTCTTCACAGGTCTCTGCATTACCCACAGCACAGTTCCCTGTTTTTAAAGCCAGACAGAGGCAAGAGATCAAGGATGCATTCAATCATTCCTTCTATGAGACTTGTGGTGACTCAAGCATTGGAGTAGGACAGAGCTGAAGTTTATCTTAATCATCAGTAAACAAGTTCTTAAAATGTTAGTAATTCTTATTGGAACTTTAACTTCCCACATAAATCAGTGTTGATATTTATGATAAATCTCCCACCTTATGTTAATAACAATGTTTTTCTTTTTTAAAATATAGAAAAGTTATATACTTTTAAATGCAGCTTGATTTTATTCATCGTTTAACACTTGTCCTTTTTAAAAGAGTTACTGATATGTGTGAGGATAAACAGATTGGTAAATAGTTTTTATTATTATAAGAATATCTAACCAAATGAGATGTCTTTCTCTTCTGAGATTATCCCTGAAAAACAGCATGTCATGGTGTAGGGAGGGAGTCCTTGGAAGCTGGAAGATCAGGGTTCAGGTCCTTCTTTTTGACACGTGCTAGCTAAATGACCATAGAGAAGTTACTTAACTACTTAGTGTTCCAAGCCATTCTCTAACATTATAATTGGCAGATGAGTTGATTTGCAAACAGTGGAGGGAGTTTCCACACTGACAATTCCTACACTGATGATTGACACTGTCTGCCTCCTTCCCCTAAAGAAGTTATCCTTAACAGGAGTGATTTGATATGCTGTATGTTCAAATCATTTCAAGAAGTTTCTAATTGGAGAAGAGAGAAGAGGTCATTGGGGAATGACAGTAATACTAAAAAAAATTAATTAAAATATATCTTAAAGTTTCTAAAATAATTATCGCGGCTACACAGATCAATTCTTTCGGAATCAACTCTATTATATTTCTTGTATTAAAGTGCTAAAACAACTTTGCAAGCCCCGTAATCCTGCAGGGTACCGTGTAGAAACACATCGCAATAGCTCCCCAGTCCTGTATCTGAAGTCTGTTAAATCACTTTTCCTGAAAGGTGAGAGGCTGTAGGGTAGACCAATTCAGAAACTGCCCCCCATATCTTGTTAAAGACAGTGTTGTCAAACATTCATTGACAGAAATGGTTGTGAGGGCTGACGAGTCTTACCTTGAACATGGTTATTCCTTCCCAGAAATAGAAAGAACAGGCAAAGCAATTCAATCCCCATTCGTTTTCAGTTCTCGCTGTGCAGACAGATTAAAAAGTGAATTACCTTCAACATAACAAGATCAAAGTTGAATTGTAAAAGACTTTCTTTCTTGAATCGGAAAATGGTAAGTACTACTTACACTGCTTTGTATAGAAACTCTAGAAGGAAAGGACAAAAAAGTTTTCATTAAGACTGAAATGAAAACAGAGGCTACCTGGACAGGTAAAGAAGAAAAGCTCTGCTTAAGAGCAACTTCAACATGATTCACTTCCTTGTTCTCCTTATAAGGAAGGCAGGTGTACAATCACTAAGAAGGTGGGGAAACTCATTCAGGTAGAAATTTGGGTGTAAATTCTAGCAGTCTCTCTGGGTCCTAGAGAAAGTCAATATTGCAAATGAATTTGTGATCAATGAAATGATGAGAGAGCAATTCTTTAAAATAGGATTTTTGTGTGTTTCCTATGTAACTTAGATGTACACAGGAAAAAGTAATAAATACTGGCCATAATGCTACATTAAAGTAGATTATAATAT